TTCACAAAGAACACATCCATTCTTTTTAAGAGCAAATGGAGAGTTCCAGGTGTTTGCTTAGAGGTCTCAAAATCCCAGGTAAGCCTCTTTGGGGATTGACTCTGGTAAAATCACTTAAACACCTAAACAACCTTAAGATGGTAAAAGCACTTAAAGAGCACTTAAAAGCCCACAAAGCAGCAACCAGCACTGTGGAGTCATTAAAGAAGTGCTTCAGTCTTTAATATCCATCAAGTGATTTAAGTCTTCACGCTTGAATGCAGTTTAATGGCATGAAGACATGAATGAGCAAGTTTTTTTAAACACATTTTCAAAATTAATTGTATTTTCAACTTGGTTGGTTGGTTGGTTTTTTTTCAACTGTTGTTTTTTTTTCATCTGACTGAGGCCTATTTAGGTCATAAATTTGGTACCACTTCAACCTTTTCCAGCCCATCTGGCTGAATAAAAGCATGATGAGCATATGTATTTATTACCCTAAGAATAAACACATTCTGGATCTAAAATTTTATGTCTGAAATGGAGCTGAACTTCAACATAGAAAAATATATTAAAATGTCTGTGTCAATAAATGGGAACTTCCTTTGGGAAGTATGTCCAGGAATAGGGAGAAAGTTAAAACTATCAACATTAAGTTGATATTTATTAAGTTATTAAGATGTTATGAGACTATGAGGGGATGTCCCTGTGTATGTTCATGGGGAGCACAATATAAAGATACCAATAAACATAATACCAATAAAGACATAAAAATATCAAAGAAAATTATGGTATCAAAGTCTTAAAATGGATGGAGCTTGAAGCAACCTGGTCTAGTGGAAGGGGGGTGGAACAAGATGATCTTTAAGGTCCCTTCCAACCCAAACCATTCTGGGATTCAATGATTCCGTGATATTTTTGAGTGTTTGCAGCTCAGGTAATGGACTTTTAACAGGCCATAGAAATTATAAAAAGCATTCACAGACCTTATAGATAATTTAGAGACACACAAGTAACTACAGACACGATTTTAACTGAAATCTGTGATGTTTTAAACTGTTTAAATTAACATTTCCACTATAGAAAACCCGCATTTAAGGCTTATTGGACCCAACTATGGCAGTTTAACTTGCCTCATCTAGACTTAAAAAATGAAAAATAGATTTACAGAATATTCTGAGTTGGAAGGGACCCACAAAGGTCATCAAGACAGGTGTGTGGGGAGGTGGCTGAAGCTCCCTTTGGGAATGTTTATCCATTGGCCATGGAGGCTGCAGGTGGGGCTAAGAGTGAAGAACACACTCCTAAAAGCTCCTAAAATTAATCCATCTGATCTGCTGAAGAGAGGAGAGATGAGGATACAATGTGGATATGGATATGACAAAATAGTGGCTATGTCTCTTATTTAGGGGAAAATTCACATTTTATGGAATGACACGGTAAAGAGAGGGGAGGGATGAAGGAGAGACAGGGATACAGTGTGAATATGGATGTGGATATGACCAAAAGCTCATAAATTAATCCATCTGACCTGGTTCCTGGATCAGCCACCAGCACATCATCCTTCAGGAGAGCCAGGGCCTCCTGCGTGTTGCCCTTCCACAGCAGGCTGGTGGATCTCAGCCTCCTGGGCAGACCTGTGCCAGGGAAAAGAGGGTAATTCCAGAGAAAGCATGGAAATGCTGAGTCTGGTGAAGAGGGAACAGAAGCCGAGTCAAAGTTGCAAAGTGGAAGCAACAATGATGGATTCGTGTGCTTTGCAGACACAAGGACCTGTTCACACCACACTGCAGGACCCCCAAACCTGGGTGATGTAAGTCCTGCCCAGCATGAACTGGGGTGCTACAGCTCAGTGAAAGCACCTCCATGAATCATAGAATCATAGAATCACAGAATCAGCTGGGTTGGAAGGGACCTCTGAGATCATCCAGTCCAACCCTTGATCCAACCCCGCCGTGGTTCCCAGCCCATGGCACTGATGCCACATCCAGTCTCTGCTTAAAAACCTCCAGGGACGGAGAATCCACCCCTTCCCTGGGCAGCCCATTCCAATGGCTGATCACCCTCTCTGGAAAGAAATTCTTTCTAATATCCAACCTAAACCTCCCCTGGCACAGCTGAAGACCCTGAGCCCTCTTGTCTTGCTGAGAGTTGCCTGGGAAAAGAGACCAACCCCCCCCCTGGCTCCCCCCTCCTGTCAGGGAGTTGCAGAGAGTGAGGAGGTCTCCCCTGAGCCTCCTCTTCTCCAGGCTGAACAGCCCCAGCTCCCTCAGCCTCTCCTCACAGCACTTGTGCTCCAGTCCCTTCCCCAGCCTTGTTGCTCTCCTCTGGACCTGCTCCAGCCCCTCCATGTCCTTCCTGAACTGAGGGCCCAGAACTGGACACAGCACTCGAGGTGTGGCCTCACCAGTGCTGAGTCCAGGGGAAGAATCACTTCCTTGGACCTGTTGGCCACACTGTTCCTGAGCCAGGCCAGGATCCATTGGCCTTCTTGGCCACCTGGGCACACTCTGGCTCATGTTCAGCTTCCTGTCCATCCAAACTCCCAGGTCCCTTCCTGCCTGGCTGCTCTCCAGCCACTCTGTCCCAGCCTGTAGCACTGCAATGATCCATAACCTCCTGTATCCCCAGGTGTGTTTTGGCTTGTGGGGTCTTGGGGAAATCCCTGCCCATATTCCCATGGGACTCTATTCCCGTGGCTACAAAGGTGTGTGACAGCCCCTTTTGCCAGAATTTCATTCTTCACATCTCGCTTTTGAGGGCTTAAACTTCTCTGAACGGCTCCAGCCTTGGCCTAAAATACTCTTGACTTCCCCCCCCGCCCATCTTTAGCAACATTTATTCAAGGGTTCTGAATGTAGGAAAAAACAAAATTCTTTTAACTGAATGTAGAAAATACTAAGGTTTTTTTAACTTTTAGTTCCACACTGAGCATGGATTCCCCAAAATCTTTTGGCCAATAGTTTTTAAATTGCCCCAGCTCCTCTGAACAGGTTCTGTGGCCCTCCATGTCCAGAATTTGGATTACACCTGGAGTGGAGTCCTTGTGGCTGTTTCCAGCTCACTTTGATGTAGAAGTGAGGAGGAAATTGGGAAATGTTTGTGACAGAAAAGCAACTTGTAATAGTCTGCTCAGTGATCATGGGCTTAATCACAGAACTATGGAATTGCTAATGATGGAAAAGCCCTCTAAGATGGAGTCCAACCATCAGCCCAGCACCAATCACCACCATGTCCACCACTAAACCACATCCTCAGTGCCCCATCCAAACGTTGTTTGAACACTTCCAGGGATGGGGACTCCCCCACTGCCCTGGGCACCCTCTTCTGATGTTTTTCAAACCTTCCCGTGAAAAGTCTTTTTCCTAAAATCCAGTCTAAACACTTCCTTGGTGCAACGTGAGGGCTTTTCCTCTCCTCCTGAATCCTGGTAAAGCTGCAGAAGGCCCCACTCTTCTGGAGCAGCAACTCTTGTTTTTCTCGGTTGGCCTGACCTTGGGATTTGAGCTGGAATGAGAGCACTGTTTGTGGTCCTGCTCTGTGGTTGTTTGTGCAGCTGAATGACCAGATAAATGATGCACTGATCATCTTCCAGCTCCTCCAGCTCCTTCATTTCCTACTTGCTGCAAAGACAACGCTGGACCACTGGGAGAGTTCCCCAGAGTCCTGACAGCAGTGCAATATCTCTCCTGAGGTTCATTAGGAATGATAAACCAGAGGATGTGTGAGCATAATATAACCCACAGTCATGGATTTATAGCTCATGGGCTGCTAATTGATGTGACAAGCACACTGTTAATAATTCACAATCTCATCCCATTCTGTCATTCAGATGTGTTTGAAAATCCTGGGCTTAACAAGCTGGAGCTTTCCCCCAGCAATGTGCTGAGTGCTGAGGAGAAAAACCTTTGGAGTTCCTTTTGTAATATGCAATGGAGAAGAGCCCAGATAATGAGAATCTATTAGAGACCACTTTCCACTGGAAGAATTCAGATGAAAACCACTTTACAACGTGTCATGCAGTGGCTTTGATCCTGGTGCCAAGCAGAACCCATTCCTTTTTGGGGTTTTGACAGACAGCAAATGTAATGTGGGACCTCAACATCCAATTGATTTTCAGCTGGGGTTTTGAAACTGTGCTTTTGCCTCTACTAAATTGTCAGGGTCTGAGGTAGTTGGTGTGTCCTGCTGGTGCGGTCTGGGAAATTTGGGGCAAATTCTAAAAAGAAAAAAGGCATAGGAGCACAAAAGGAGCTGAGCAAGGGCACAAATCCAGCACAGTGATGGAAGCAATGGAGGGGCTGCACAGCACAAGCGACCAGGTGCACTTCTGACATGTGCTTCTCACAACACTTCTAGGGTGCACTTCACACCTCACTGGGTGACAGGAGCAGCCAGAGCAGCTCCAGATACTCCTGAGAGTCAGAGGGGACCAGGCAGGGTGGGTAATCCCTGGGCACAACACGTGGGTAGAGCCAGACCCTGCCTGCAGGGAGAGGGGCTGGGCAGGGATGTGGCCATTGGCCACTTTGGGCTGTTTGTGGGTTTGTTTCCAGATTTCATCCATATCATTCCATTTTGGGGAGCCCTTATTTTGATACTGGTTTGCTTCAGGGGATGCTGTGTCCCGTCCTGCAATTTGCCTACCTGCTGTTTTGACCTTGGCTCCTAATTTTAGGGCATTTATTCCAACCTGGAATAACACAGAAGCTACAGAGATTAACCAAAATGCCACACAAGACACCAGCACAGTCTCTTTGGCCATTTTAAATTTTGGAATATCTCAATCAAGTATTAGTAGCTCTATTTTGGAGAAAGGTTAAAATTCTGAGTCCTGTGAGCTCCTTCTGCCTTAATGTAACAGTTACCCAGTTCTGAAGTAGCAGCACATTAATACTTCTCTGCCAACAAGTGCAGAGCCATGAATAGCTCAGGAATCCCGGATCAGGAGCCACACTGGCAGCTAAATTTAGCTCATCAATCAAGGTCTTTCTATTCAAAGCAAAGAGGTTTGGTGCCTCTTTGACCCCCAGCCCTACATCTCAGAAAAAACAGAGCACTCTGGGCTGGAGCACAAGGCCCTGTTATGCAATAAGAGCCTGGGTTCAGGATATTTCAGGAATAAGATGGTGGGATGCACCAGGAATAAAATATTGTGGGGTGTTGGGATATTTGGGGAATAAAATACTAGGATGTGATGGTAACAGAATGATGGGATAAAATATGACAGGAATAAAATATTGGGATATGTGACACGTAGAACCTTGTGATATGATGGAACTTAACGTTGAGATATGATGGGATTTAATGTTGGGAACATGCTGCGAACAAAGAATTGGGATATGTGAGGAACAGAACACTGGGAATGAAATGCTGGTGTGTGTGTGTGTTAAATCCAACCCTGGGATACCTGTGCTACCAAATTGTAAGGAATCTGAATCACTTTCCAGGGGAAAAACAACTGCCCAGCCTACAGGGCAGGTCGGCCCCTTTCCTGGCAGGTGGCCTGGAACAAGAGTTTCCTTTTAGCACTCCAAGAAGCTGCTCCCAGGAATCCTGCTGACCTCTGGGAAGGGCACAGGGCAGGGTCCACACCGGGAAACACCTTCTCAGCAGCCTTTTGTACCCCTGTGTGGTAGTTTGGCCTGGGCCTTCCTTGGTGACCAGCTTGTAACCAAGGAAGTGCCCAGATTTACCCGGTATTCCCTACGATTTTTACGTAAGCTGGGGGATAAGAAGAAAGGAGGAGACGCCTTCGCTCTCTTTCCTTCCGGCGGCTTTGGAGGTGCAGGTTTCCCTGTTGTTGAGTCTGTCGGGTTGGGGAGTGAGGCCTGGTGAGGCCTTGTCGACCTTGGGAGGTGGAGGCTGCCGGCAGTCACCAGTCACCCCAGCGTGACTCTGCGTTGTCCCAAGGAGAGTAGTAAGATATTCTTTGTTAATTCTTTTAGTTGATAGACCTTGGGCTACTGATCGGGATAATATATATTATTTTGGTTTTTGTTCTTCCCTTCCCCTTTCCCTTTTTCCCTGTGAAATTATATATATATATTTCAACTGTACATAACTATAAGTGTAAATATATTTATATACATTACTTTGTCTCTCTCTCGTTTTCGGTTCTTTTGGGTTTTTTTCCCCCTCTTCTCCCTTGGTTTGGGGTGGGGGGGGACTCCTTGTGGTAAGGTTTGGAGACTTGGCAGGGAGTCAGCTCCAAACCTTAACACCCTGGATTTTAGGCTGTCGTGTCTGTGGGCTCTGAGGTGGCCCAGAGCTGTCTCACCTGAGAGCTGGCTGGCCATCCTGCGCAGGGTGACGGGCGATGGCTTCAGTGGCATCGAGCCCTTCTCCAGAAACACCATCCCATCTGCTGTGTACCTCTGCTCTGAGTCCTTCAGCCTCCCCAGGGGGTTCTTAATGACAAAGTTCTGGGCGTAACGCTCCAACGGGTCATCCAGGGACGTGACCTTGCCTTCCTCCCACATCTTGTACAGCATGATGGTGGGGAAGATCTTGGAGACGCTGGCGATTCTGTGAAGGGACAAACGTGGAGAGAAATTCAACTTTAAGAAGCTCATGAATCAAGAGGAAAGATGGTACGTGAGATCACTGTAGCTCTGGCAGAGCTCAAGGAGCACTTGATCATCCAAGATGATCCTCTGGGGCACAGAGTGTGACTCCCAGGGATGGGCCTGTGCAGGGCTGAGGGTTGGACTGGATGATCCTTTTGGGTCCCTTCAAACTCAGCATATTCTCTGATTCTGTGACACCTTTGCCCTTCTGAAGGGAAGGGTTAAAATATAGGTAAGAAGTTTGAATTAATATCCTTAAATCTGAACCTTTATCAACTGACAACCTCTGTGCTCAGCAGTGCAGTAGTTGCAGATCTTTTTCTAGTCACTTAGTATTCATTAAATTACCTATTTTGTAAATGATTGGTTAGTAAATACCATTAAGGAAGGGCAGGCACTGATCTCTGCTCTGTGAGGACCAGGGACAGGGCACCTGGAGTTGGGTCAGGGCAGGTTTAGGTTCTCAGGAAAAGGATCTCAGAAAAAGTTTCTTCTCCCAGAGGCTGGTTGGGCACTGACCAGGCTCCCCAGGGCAGTGGGCACAGCCCCAAGGCTGCCAGAGCTCCAGGAGGGTTTGGCTGATCCTCTGGGGCACAGAGTGTGACTCTTGGGGATGGGTCTGGGCAGGGCTGAGGGTTGGACTGGATGATCCTGGTGGGTCCTTCCCAGCTCAGCATATTCTGTGATTTTGCTAGTTTATTGGAACTTACTGCTAGTTTATTGGGATTTTACGGTTAAAATCACAAAATTACAGAATCCTTTAGGGTGGAAAAGGTCTCTAAGATCATCAAGCCTCACCATTTACCCAGGGCCACCCCTAAACCTTATCCCCAAATGCCAGATTTGCACATTTGGAGCTGCCTCCAGCCTGTCCCTGTGGTGTAACCAGGCAGTGTGTTCGGCTGTGAACCGAGAGCTTGGTGGTTCAAGCCCACCCGGGGACCTGGATCTGATTCCAGGGGTTGGAACTACACCTTTAGTGTCCCTTCCAACCCAAACCATCCAATGGTTCTGGGAGAAAAATAGCAGAAGGTCATTTTACCGTTATTACAGATGGGGAAGAAACAGATGATCTGAAACTTTCCAAAACTGTTTATTCTGAGGACAAAATTGATAGTCAGAATGCAGCCCATGTGTTTCATAGATAACACAGGTAGAACTCACTGAAAATAGATCTTTAAATGAAAATCTATATTTTTTTTTTGTTGTAGCACACACTAAGAGCTTGATTCTATATTCACCTAAAAAATAACAGCCAATATGACACTGGGAGGATGAATAAGTGTACAGGTCTATTTTATGTGTAGTAGAAACTCTCCCCAAACCCCAATTTTTTCCTAGGCTGAAATTTATATTATCATTGTTATTATTGTTGTTATTATTATTATTATTGCTTTAATTAATATTTTAACCCTCTGGCCCTGTCTCCTCTCTGTTCTCTTTTTTCAGTATCTGTGCCAGTTCTCAACCTTCAGATTTGTGCCCTAGGCCTCCCCAAAATATGGGGCCACTCCTATGAATGTTTTCAGGCTCTTCAGGATGGTAATTTAAAATATTATCAGATCAAATTAAGAAAAAAAATCAATAAATACATCCTAAGTAAGTCATTAAACCACCAGCAAGTGAGAATTGCTGAAGCATCATCTCACAAAGTTTCCGGAGAGGTTCCTGCAGGGAATGTGACAGCGGCTCTATTCCCTGAGATCAGATCTCCACGTATGGATGTGTCCTTTCCTGGCTCTCTGCCTGTGCCAGGGTTACATCTATCTGCCTTTTCCTGGTTCTCTGCCTGTGCCAGGGCTCTCACCTGTAAATGGTGTATTCGTTGGGCACAGCCGAGGAGGGGTCGGAGATGTTCTTCTTCCCAAAGTTTCCTGTCCAGAGCACTGTGTCGTTGTAGATGACGATGGCAGACATGGCTGGGAGCCCTGAGCTGTGCATCTTCTGCCTTAGCATCAAATCCACCTGGAGAACGAGGGGGAGACCAGGAATTCCCAAATGAAAACTCTTATAACGCATCCGGTCTGTACCAGACTGTCATGGTTTGAGAGCCCCAAAATCCAATTCTCGAGTCCTAGCCCCCCTCCCACATCTCAACCCAGTGTGAGATGGGTTTTCCAGACACCAGACGAGGCTCAGAATGGGGGGAAAGGGTTATATTACAATGACTGTACAAAATAAATAGTATAATACATCATATACAATCTATTTTTTTTTTTAATAGCTCGAAACTTGCACACAGACCACCAGCCTTCCTCACTCCTGAGCACTCCAGAGGGGTTCTATGAAATGTATTTTGTCAAAAGAAAATATTTTAACTGTTTAACAGTTTCTTAGAATTGCTTATGTTGAATTATCCAGTGTCTTCCTTTCGGCCTACACATCAAAGAACCTGTTGCTCATCCTTCTAATATTTAAGATTAAAACCAAATACCAACATGTAATAACTGCAAATTCTTCCTTTTTAAATTGTAACTCGCACATCTGTTCTCTGCACTAGTATTTTAGGGTCAAAGATGTACAAGAAGACAACTGTTCAAATATCCCATGAGGTTTTTCACTCCATGAAACACCTCTGAGCTCAGGCTCCTGTTAAACTGCAACCTGAGAAACAACACAGCAACCAAGGGGCTGTGATTGCCCTTTGCTGCCTGTTGTGCCAGGGCTGTGGAGGTCTCATCATCCAGCTGTGCTCCACCCACCTCCTGCAGGCAGAACACATTGATCTTGCCCTTTAGTGGTTTTTTCAAAGCTGTGTCATCACCTTGCATGTGTTCTCATTTGGTTGAGACACAAGAAATTCCTTTCCAGGCCCAGTATTTGAGGCAAGAAAGGCCAAGCTGAGCCATGTCCTCAGGGTCTCTTCCCTGGGTAGGCTGGTGGGATGCACTGACAGCAGTGGAAACATCCAACCTGTGCCAAGTCCTACTGTTAGAGGTTCTTTGCCCTCCCCTCCTCAGGTACCCAGTGGCCCATCTGGGAACACCAGCGACTCCTGACAGTGGAGTGGTCTCAAGGGGACCATGGAAAGGGACTTTTTATAAGGCCATGCAGTGATAGGACGGGGGGAATGGCCTTAAGCTGAAGGAGGGCAGGGTTAGATGGGATACTGGGAAGGAATCCTTCCCTGGGAGGGTGGGGAGGCCCTGGCACAGGTTGCCCAGAGAAGCTGTGGCTGCCCCATCCCTGGAAGTGTCCAAGGTCAGGTTGGATGGGGTTTGGAGCAACTGCAGGAGAGCAGCCATGAGCTGTGCCTCCCTCTGTTCCCTTCTCCCCACAGACCTTCTCCAAGGCATCCTTCAGGATGGGGATGGGGTGGTCCAGCGGGACCGGCTCAGGGTAGCGGGGACACATCTGCACAGCTTCTGATCTCACTTCCATCACAGAAGGGCCTGGAAAACATGGCAGGGGGAGCACAAGTGACTTCAACAGACACACTGACAAGGTTTAACCTCACCCACCAGTCACCATGAGATTTCTAGTGCTGTCCAAAGCTGAAGGACACCTCTGCACAGGAAAGGGATAATCCCGAGTTGTGTTTGTCTCACATAGAATAGGACTTGCAGGGCACCACGTTCTGTTATCACTTATTCCAACACAGGATGGACTTCAATTGACTCTTAAACCTGGAAGAATAAAGGACTGGGACTACAGTCCCACCTGACAGTGGGTTTAACCCTCCTGGAAGTGCCTTACCCACATCTGGAGGAAAGTCTGAGTTGGGGTTCAGGAGAACAATGTTGGCCCCTGCATTTTGTAACCTCAGAAATGGGTATTGAAGTGAAGTGTGAGTGTCCCCTGAGACCCAGCACTGTCACAAGAGCTGAAAGGTTGCACACCTTCTGTGTTAGTTGTCCCCTGAATTCCCTGCATCCTGCCTGTGCCACAGAAACAGCTGGAATTTTTGTGGTGAGCAAAGCTCTTTAAACTCACTGAGAGATGGGAACTGTCTCACTTGGAGGCACTATTTTTCCAGCCGATCCCAAGGTGTTGTTCATAAACACAGCTCCTCTGCTCTGTGAGCTGCAAACAAATGCTTCTCTGTGTTCTTGCTCAGCAGGTGAACATGAAGCATCAGAACTAGAGATGAGGGGAGAAATGACACTAGGAAATCTTGGAGATGCATGGTATGGACACAGAGAGAGCCCACAGGCAGCCTGGTACTCTGTGACAAAAATGTAGGGTCTGAAATGTTTTCCAGACCTTGGTCTGTGAAATACCTCTGAATTCACCATGAATTTTAAGTCACGTTTGGGTTATTTAAAACTCTGATTTAATCCTTTAGTATTTAATCCTTGCACATACAGTGCCTTGAGACTATTGGTTGAGTTTCCTATAATCAATAGAGGAGGCAATGGAGCTGCTCCAAGGGCTGGAGCCCCTCTGCTCTGGAGACAGATTGGGAGAGCTGGGGGGATTCACCTGGAGAAGGGAAATTCCAGGGAGACCTGAGAGCCCCTTCCAGTGCCTAAAGGGGCTCCAAAAGAACTGGGGAGGGACTTGGGACAAGGGATGGGGTGACGGGACAAGGGGGAGTGGATTCAGACTGCCAGAAGGCAGAGATAGATGGGATATTGGGAAGGAAATGTTGGCTGTGAGGGTGGGGAGGCCCTGGCACAGGTTGCCCAGAGAAGCTGTGGCTGCCCCATCCCTGGAAGTGTCCAAGGCCAGGTTGGATATGGCTTGGAGCAACCTGGGCCAGTGGAAGGTGTCCCTACCCATGGCAGGGCATGAAACTGGATGGGTTTTAAGGTCCCTTCCAACCCAAACCAGTCTGGGATTCTATGATTCTACAAATTCAAGTGTGAACCAAGGGCTTAAGCCAAAGGTCTAAGATTAAGGGAATAGCAAAGGAAGCACTTAGCAAGGTGTAAAAGAAACCTGTTCTAAGCTGGAGTGACTTTTACAACACAGAAAAGATAAAGAATGTAAAATCAAATGTCTCCTTGGTGTATCAGTTAACCAAAGATGAGCAGCAGAAGTAATGGGGCTTCTCTGGACACCAGCAGAGTTATGTGGTCCCCCATCAACCCAGTGTTCATCTCCTCTGTGCCCTTGCACCAGCAAGGAGGAAGAAATTTATGTGTTGTCTGGAGAAATTTGTGTGTCTGGGGAAACGCTCTTTGGGGGAAAATGGGGAGAAAGGGTTTTATTAGTGTCCCAAATTTCTGTGCCAAACTATGAGCAAGGTTCAAGCAGAGTACTCACTGGGCTCCAGCTTGGGGAGGCTGTACTGCCACAGGAAGCAGCCTGTCATTGCCACAGACAGCAGGAAGAGGAAGACAACCAACACATGGATCCACTTCACCTCCATGGCAGTGAGCTTGAGGAAGCTCCGGCTGCTGGGAGCCTTCTGTGAGCAGAAAAGGAGTCAGAGAGAGAGAGAAAACACCTCTCCTGCATTTCAGCTGGTGAGAGAGGCCCAATGCACCAGAGAATAAAGCTGCTGAAGGGACATGGATTGATTTGAGCCCCCTGGTCCAGTGGAAGGTGTCCCCACCCATGGCAGGGGTGGAACGAGGTAAGTTTTAAGGTCCTTTCCAACCCAAACCAGTCTGGGATTCTGGAATAATTTCAGCACCAGAGCTGGGCATACCAGCCTGTGTTGGGATAACTGGAACCAGAGATGACTTCTTGCCTTTCAGTGAGGTTTGCAAGCCTTACCTTGTGGGTTCTTGTAGAAGAACACAACCTCTCCTTCTGCCCTCCCCCTCCCTGCAGGTTAACACCCATCAGACAGGATTCTCAGATGCTGCTCTCAGTTCCACCCTTCTCAACCATCAGGGCTTATTCCTGGATATCTTTCCAGTCCCGTTTTTTTCCAGAGTCAGCATCTGTTTGTGACAGCCACCAGTCAGATCATCTGAGCAGATCCAGCTTTTTTAGATGAATGACGGAATTTTTTCACCGTTTGCTGCCCTCACCCTTCTCTGTTGTGCCTGTAAATCCCATCCTATCACGTACCATCTGTAAGCTTGGCGTTTACAGATGCCATGTTTTGGGAAACTGGCTGATATTTTGAGTGTGTGCAGCTCTCACAACACTGGAGACCATCCAGGTTGGGAATAGAACCAGATAAATGTTGAAGAAAAACAAGGAACAGATGACAAACGAGGAGGTGCCTGAGCCTGGGCTGTGCTCCTTCACTGCCTGCAGGAGGTCAGGAGGGTGCTTTTGAAAGTTTGGCAATTAATGTTACAAAACATATGGGCTGCCATTTGCATCCAATATGGTCCACATTCCAAAGCTGTTTCAGGTTGCCTGGACTCACTTGTAGGATAGACAGATTGAAATATTCCCTTTAGATTTCCACATGGCCCTTTTCTTTTCCCTTTTTTTTTTTTTTTTGAGATGCAGGAGGGTTCAGGCAAAAGCTTCTGCAAATCAGCTGAGCCTTGTCAGTCCCAACTAGGGAATTTCACACTCCCACAGGGCTCTGTGGCTCAGGAAGGATCCAGCTGCATTTTCCAGCCCCTGATGAAACTCTAGGTTGCACTTCCTGCACAATAACAGGAACACATCACCATTCTTTCTAAAGCTTTTCAGCCTGTTCAGACATTCCCACAGAAATTTCTGAAGGCAGGTTCTCCCATTAAAACTTCAAGGGTGGCTTAAAGACCACGCAGGTACCTGTGACCCACCCCAACCTGAGCCTGCCAGAGCACACGAGGTCCATATTCCACTCTGTGATGTTTTTCTAAACAGGACAATGCCATTTTAGCACCAAACCCGTTTTTGTTTGGATGTCCCAACCTCCTGAAGTGCCTTAGTGGGCAGGAGATCACACCGCCCCAGGAGGAGCCTGTGTGCTGAGATCTCTTTAATCCCCCATCCTGTCAGGGTTCAGTGGAGGCTGAAGGATGTCACCTAGAGCTGTTTTCCTGCAGCAAGGAGTGCCACAGGGCCCTCTTTGCCCTGCAGTGTTCACAGGATGACTTTTTTTGGGTTCAGTCCCGTCAGAATGACGTGTTTCCCCCACCTATTTTCTCTGTTTTTCTGCCTCTTCCCTTGTTTCCCTGAGAAACCCTGATTTCTGAGTCCCTCAGAGCAGAGTGAAAGGAAATACATTTTCTGTATATTCTTCATCTCACAGATTCCAGACTCCCTGGATCACTAACTGAGGATCCAAAGATACCAACACTGAGCTCATCCTTTAGTCCAAACATCCTTCAGTCCATCCCCCCCTTCACCTCTTGTGGATCGTGAGTGCCCTGAATGGCTCTTTTTTATTTTCTGCCCTATAATTTAGTAGGAATGCAAAGAAACCCTAACAATGCCACGGACTAGAGACATGGATCTGTAGCCAGTTGTAGTTGGCTTCCCATCAAACCCCACAGAATACAGCAGAAAACCTCCCAGAAGAAAGAAAGAAAAAAAGGAATAGCAAAAGCTATATAAAATATATATATTTTACATATATCACAGATATACAATTAAGGTACTATGTACATATGAACACAGGAACCCCAAACTGCTCCCAAAAGGGAAAGAGGGGAAAGAAAAAAAGGGACAAAAAAGGGACAGAAACAAAACAGGTATGGACAATAGAAAAACCCAGTAACCAGCAAAATAAAGAAGTAGCAATAAAGAACCACTTCCCTTGAGAAAAGCAGGACAGCCAGACCTGGCCCAGCACTGTTCCCAAACCTACTGTTCCCAAACCTTGCTGGGAGAGAAGAGAAGAGAAGAGAAGAGAAGAGAAGAGAAGAGAAGAGAAGAGAAGAGAAGAGAAGAGAAGAGAAGAGAAGAGAAG